CTCCTTAAAGATTAGGATACAGTTACCACCCAAACTTTCTTATTCTCCCTTACCCTCCTCAGTCAGCATCCACCTTCTCAGATTCCAGGAAACTGCCTAGGCAAAGCCTTTGGAGACCTGCTAATGATCAAACCCAAATTCTACTGTACAGAGGGGTTGCAATTACATGGGCAAGATAATGAGTACATTCTTATCAAGCATTGTAGCCTCCTCCTTTGTTTCCCCTTCCCATCCCTTCCCATCCTCCCCCCAACCCCCTCCACCCGACATGACAACTTGTACTTCTCATTGTTGCAACGGGTCCACCTCTATCCTTATTTAGACGACTTGTTTTTCCCCTTCCCCTCCACAAATTATACCAACATCAAATACAGTGAAAGCAGGGGTTATACTGTGGGGGAGGGACATACAAAGCAACAAAAAAATAATCTTATAAATGCGTTAGAAACAATCACATGAAAGAAAAAAAACATTTGAATACATATCTTAGGGTTCATTTTCCTAACATCACCTTATCTGACCTTTTCTGCTTGACTCATACATATACTAGATATTGCAAATAAGGGAAACCATGGGACCTATGTTTCTTTGGGCTTGGCTTACTTCACTTAATATAATTTTTTCCAAGTCTTTCCATTTCCTAACAAATGAGGCAATGTCATTCTTTCTGATGGAGGCATAGAATTCCATTGTGTATATACACCACATTTTCTTGATCCATTCATCTACTGAGGGGCATCTGGGTTGGTTCCATATCTTAGCTATGGTAAATAATGCTGCAATAAACATAGTTGTGCTGGTAGCTTTAGTGTGGTCTTGTTTGTAAACATTTGAGTAAATGCCCAAAAGTGGGATTGCTGGGTCATAGGGGAGCTCTATGTGGAATCTTTTGAGGAACCTCCATACTACTTTCTAAAGTGGTTGAACAAGTTTACACTCCCACCAACAATGAAGTAAGGTTCCCTTCTGTCCACATCCCCTCCAGCATCTGTTGTTATTAGAGTTCTTGATTTTTGCCATTCTAACTGCAAACCCAAACTCTTTAGCTGGAGACACCATAAACCAGTCCTTTGCTAATTTAATTGTAAGAGGAATACATTGAAAAGGCACTATAGATCTTGAAGTTAAAAGATGTGTAAGTCTCAAGAGTTAGCTAATAGTCTCATAGAACAAGGGACCTCTACTGGCATTAAGCTATTCATCACTGAATCACTGCATTCAAGCTTCTGAGCCCCAGACGAGTAAATAAACTTGGCTAAGCTTAGATCACAAACCTACTCTGTGGCCTGGAGTGACAAGGACTGAAATGACAGGGAGAAGAGCCCTGAGTGACAGCTCTACCACAGCTGGTCATCTGGGGAAACAGGATATTCAGTAAGAGGAAATTAGGGTGTTATTACCAAAAGGAGGAAAAAGAAACAGGGTATAGAATATGTCCATTTCAGTTCTCATCTTTCTTGATTTATGGTGGTTTAGGGGTTTTTTGTTTTGTTTTTTGGTTGGGGGCTTGAACTCAGGGTCTAGGCACTGTCCCTGAGCTCTTTTTTGCTCAAGGTTAGCGCTCTACCACTTTGACAGCTCCATTTCTGGTTTTCTGGTGTCTAATTGGAGATGAGTCTCATGGACTTTCCTGCCCCAGCTGGTTTTGAACTGCCATCCTCAGCTCTCCGCCTCATGAGTAGCTTGGATTACAGGCTGAGCCACCATCACCCAGCTGGTTATGGTTTTGACACCAGGAAAAGCTCTTGTTATTTTTGGTTCTATGTGTCAACTACATTAAGACAACAACTTTCTAGGCTGAAATTCTTTCTATGTGTTCTACACACACACACACACACACACACACACACACACACACACACACACACACGGTAGAGAAGGGGGCGGGAATACTCTTGTTTGTTTCCTGCCTGCCTCCGTTGAGCTAGGCCATCAGTTTTCTTACATTGGCCTGGAACATGGTTCTCATTGCTCCCATGGTTCTCAAGCAACTGAATTCAGATTAGAATTATATCACTGGCTTTACTAGCTCTCCAGATTGCAGAATGCAGATCTTGAAACTTCTCAGCTTCTAGAGTCATATATGCCAACTTCTCATAATCCATTTCTTTCTAAGTATATACACTGTAGAATTGTTTCTCTGGTGAACATTTGCTAATATGACTTTCCACTTATGGAAAGTTGCTTTTCCCATTCACTTCTACTCTCCTTCCCACCTGACAGTATTTTCTCCCTCCTTCAATATTCTCCTGGTCTCTGTCCTTAGATTTCCTTTCTTTTCATTTCATAGGGCTTTTTTTTTAATTCAAGTTAAGAATCACCTGTACACTTGTGATTCTTTATCTTTTTAGATGCCGTGTATTTAGTGGCTGGTATCCTTTGAACATCACACTGCCTTCCCTGAATAAGCTTGGTCTTCCTTCCTGCTTTGTTTCTGTGAATGACACAGTCCACTCCCCCGGTCACCCAAGTGACAGAGAACTGCTTCTCTCTCTCTCTCTGAGATCAATTCAGTTAGCACAATCTGCAAGTTGGGTTTCCTTAATTTCACTTTAATGCTTCCTTTCCTTGATATCCTCATTGCTATCCCCTTCATTTGGGTTCTTTTTGTCTTAACAAGATAGTAACTTCCCAATGAGTCTACATCTTCAATTTTATACCATTCCAATCCATCTACATAAAACTCCTCTGTGTGTGTGTGTGTGTGTGTGTGTGTGTGTGTGTGTGTGAAATTCAGGAAAAGGTTTCTTGAATCATACCATGTTGTATTTATTCTGCTACAGTCTTTGGATTTCTGAATCCATTCTTCCTCTATGTTAGATCTTCTTTGCCTGTCCTCAATATTTATCATTTCTATCAAATCATTTCTTTATTCCTTTATGAACTTAAATTACACATTCAATTTTTAGTTCTCTTCAGGCATTATCTCTGGTTGTATTTGCTTATACTTGTGTTTATTCTAGTGTTCCTGAACTCACCTTTTCCATTTCTCATTCTTGCCAGAGTTATTTTACCTCATTTCTTAAGTTTTCCCTTTCCTTTTCATTTTCTTAATGTCTTTATGCTTGTCTTAGTGCTTGCTGTACCATAAAGTTATTCAAAATAAATTCCATGCCTCTACCAATCACAATATTGCACACCATCTTCACTTCATTTCTCCTGCTTCTCTTATTTCCCTAATCAAATGTGGAATGCATGTTTATTCAAATATGACTATTTCCTGAGGAAACAAGTTAATGGAATTCTCCTATATGGTATTGGGCTCCAGTACCAAACCAGAAACAAAACCAGTTGATTTTGAAACCAAGTTTGCAAAGGTAAATCATTGTAGCTAGAGCCCACCACAACCTTTCCCTTATTTTGAATTCATACTATACTTGAATATGTTGAATACTTGATAATCTTGAATAGGTTTCAATTATTTCATGGTAGTTTTTCCCTTGAACCAGATAATTAGTTGTTTTTAAGAGTAAAGGCTCTTGTTTTTTTAGGTCTTGTAAAGAATGATGCTGGAAAACATCATTTGGTATTCCCACAATAGTTGGCCACTGAAGATCCTTTTGATGGAATTTGGGATTGTAAGGATTGCTGAAAAGAAATGACCACAGGATTCAGGTGGAGGAGGGTTTATTAGAAAGAAGAAAGAGAAACCAAATTGCTGGCTCACACAAGTTGGAGCAAGAGAGCTCATGGCAGGAGAGATTATATGGGGGGAAGGAGACACAGCAGATGTGGAGATGACCTCAGAGGGTGGGGAAATGACCTCAGAGCCTGGGGGACCTCCCACCGTTCCCGGGCAAGCCAGTGGCCTGGGTCAGGTGCTGGGTAGGAATTTCTAGGGTATATGGGGAGAGAATCAAGGGAGGGGACCATTTCTCCCAGGGACCTAACAGGGATTTAAAAAAAATCATATTGCTACCACCAAGAGGCCTATCAGCTTAAGGACATGGACAGTATATTAAAATATAAATATATGAGGTTTGTGTGTGTAGTTCAGAGGAAAGGGAAACTGTCTAGCCTAAGGTACAAAAAGATGCTGACATAGCCTTGGGCATTTCTCTAATAGAAAATAGAAAAGGTATCTTAGGTTGAGACAATGAGTTTGAGAAAAGATACAATTTCTGTTGAAAAACAAAACCTATACCTACTGAATGAAGAAACAATACGTTTTGATAGATGTATAGCTTTTAAACCAACGCAATCCTCTTCCTTTCCAATTGAAAGTCTCTACTTTGAGCCAATCCATCATCATCTATGTCCCAGTTCAGCTTGACTTAATATCTTCTTTCTTAATATAATTTTATTATTATTAAGGTGTTGTACAGAGGGGATATCATTTCGTAACTCAGATAATGTGTACATTTCTTCTTCTGGACGTCACCCCTCCCTTTGCTTTCCCTTAGTTTCCCCTCTCCCCTTCCTGCCCACAAGTTACATAGTTCATATTCCACATGGTGTATACTGAATAGCATGATTGCATTTGTTTTCCCTCCCTCCCTCCTTCCCTTTCTGAGCATAACCCCGGCCCCATTGTCCCTCTAAAAAGAAAAAAAAAAACAGAAACAAAACCCAAACCCACAATCAACAAACAGCAAAGTGTTTGTATTTTCTGGAGTGTGTTTTAAATGTTCAGAGGAGTTCCTCCCTGGCCGTATCCTCCTTTGGTCTGACTGTGTGATATGCCTAGAGTTCTCTACAGGTATAGCTTATCTTCTAATGGGATAAAATACAACACACTGGGCTTCACAGTCTCCTTGACCTGCGTCGAAAATCCTTCTCACCCAGAACAAGAATAGCCTGAGTCCAACTCCACCGAGTCTCTGGAGGCGTCTCGGGTCTTACATTGCATTAAAATTGTAAAGCAGAAAGGACCAGGTCAGGACCACAAGCCAGCAACTACCAGGGTCCGGAAGTAGGGCCTTAGCCACGCCCCAACCTTCCCTCTTCCGGTGATGCTCAGAGAGGCGGGGTTTCCGCTTCCGGTGTCGGATTGTTGACGCCTGTGGCTGCTGCGGTGGCTCCTGGGCCGTTGGGGCCGGGAAGTGGCGCGGTGACAGGTACCGCGGAGAGAGCTCTGGTGGCGACGATGGCGGAGGGGTCCGAGGAGGCCCGAGGCCGCCCTCCGGGACAGGAAGACGGTAGAGGAGATCACGAGCCCATCCCGTCCCGGCCAGAGCCCCCCGCGGCCCCTTGCCCCCAGGAGGGGTCGCAAGCCGAACCCCAGGCCCGGGATCGGCCCCCATCCCCGGGTCCCGCGCCCGCCTCGGAGGAGGCGGAGCCGCCGCGGGAGCCGCGCAAGCGGAGGGAAGGGGCCTCGGCCTCGAACGCGGGGCCGCGGGAGCCCGCCGGCTGCGAGGTCCCCGAAGCCGCCGCAGCGCCGCGGGACCGGCCCGCGCGGCTCAGCGCCCGCGAGTACTCACGGCAGGTGCACGAGTGGCTATGGCAGTCCTACTGCGGCTACCTGACCTGGCACAGCGGCCTGGCCGCCTTCCCCGCCTACGGCAGCCCCCCGCCGGGCCCGCCCGGCTCCCCCGCGGCCGGCGCGCCCGCGCCCGCGCCGCCGCCGCCCGCCTCGCAGCTGGCCTATTACAACCCCTTCTACTTTCTGAGTGCCGGGGTGGCGGCGCCCGATCCGGGGGCGGCCGCCGGCATCAGCGCCCCGGCCGCGATCGCCGGCCTGGGTCCCCGAGTCCCTCACGTGCAGGCGTCGGCCCGGGCAACCCCAGCGACCCGAGGGGGAACCGCCGCCCCTTCGCGGACGACGACCGAGACCGGACGGCAGGCAGGTGAGAAAGCAGCGGGGATCGGGAGTTGGGCCGAGCGGAAGGGAGAGGTGGGCTTGCTTTCCAGCAGTGCTGCTGGAATTGGTCGCCGTGCGCGCGTGCAATCAGTCATCCTGTGCCCACGCCTAACATTACCAAAGTGGACAGACTGCCAGGCAGTGCAGTTTCTTCTTGTTGTAGATCTGGCCCTACCAATTGATTTCCTTACTCACGAGACTAGCTAGGCCTTACCACATTGAGGGGGAAACCTTTGCTCTTCACACCGTCCTCTTACATTGATCTCTACTCTCTGGAGAGCAAGATCCAAAGCTCAACTTCCAGGTGGGCAAACGTACTTTTGGAAGAGAAAGACTGCTAATACTGGGGGAGGGGGGGAAGGCGGTGTACAATTCAGATGTGGGCTGCTTTCGGACCAGAGGAACTGGATGGATATAAAAGCAAATTGGTATGAATGCAAATAGCGTTGACTAGGCTCTGGCTTTTTAATCATATCTAATTGCTTGCCTTCTGTATAGGAGCTAGAATATTTTGAATCAGCTACAATTTAACTTCATTATTTAGACTTTGTATTTAGCCGTGTGTGTATGTATATGTATGTATTACAAGGAATAATGTATGCCTGGATATGATCCCATTCAGAAGTTAGGATTACAGATTGGTAATCATTTGGATTTTTTATTGAAACTAACAATTAAATGAATTGGGTTCGTAGGATACAGGAATTTATGCAAATGGCCTGTTTTTAACATTGATTTTTACTGAAAGTTTTACCTGGATGTGGTTATCTAGATTTTTTTGGGGGGGGGGTCCGGTCGTTGGGCCTGAACTCTGGGCCTGGGTGCTAGCACTCTACCACTTGAGCCACAGCCCCACTTCCGGCTTTTTTTTTCTTTTTGCTTATGTGGTGCTGAGGAATCGAACCCAGGGCCTTGAGCATGCAAGGCAAGCACTCTACCACTGAGCCACCTTCCCAGCCCCTAGATTTTTTTCATTCAAGTCCCCATCCACTAAAATGTATTGGGTACCCTATTCTAATTTATCTGTGAAAATAGTTGTTAACATTGTGAATAGTAGAATGCTGTTGTTAATTTTACTAACAGGTACACTTGGTTGACAGAATCAGTAAGAGGAATTGGGGCCAGATTTGGTTTTCATTATCTAGCTTGTGTTCGTGTTCTCAGGCCTATATGAAGCAATGAGTTTTCCTAACTTTTTTTTTTTAATTTGCAGGCAGAGAGTATGTTATTCCATCCTTGGCTCACAGATTTATGGCAGAGATGGTGGATTTCTTCATTCTCTTCTTTATAAAAGCAACAATTGTCTTAAGTATTATGCACCTCAGTGGAATAAAGTAAGGATATTTGCAGAAAGGTTTACAATTTCTACTGCTTAGAAATCTGGTTAAGCTCTATTCCTGCGAACAAGTTAACTCAGTGGACAGTAGGTTTGCTAGAGCTTTGTCAGGTTTATTGTTTTCTTGTGGGCTTTTAAAAAATAAGTACAAAGGAAAAAAATTGTTACGATCTGTGAGAAATTCATCTATTATTAAAGTAGGTTAGATGAACCTGCAAACCTGGTTTCTATGAACTATTCTCTTAGGCCAGCAACTAATTTCCCTCAAATTATCTGTGGAGCCTGTAAAGACAAAAGCTACAGAGCATTTGGTTAGGTGAACCAAGTAGTAGCATTTCCAAAAGGGAAGTTTGTATTATCTGTTAAGTCCCACTTCAAAGTGAGACATTTCCTTGAATAATCCTTTCAGATTAAGTATAATCATAACAGCAGTTTTCACTTGCTAAGCATTTTTTATGTACAGTATGTGTTAAGCTTGCTTGCAATTGGAGTTTATGAGCACAATTGTCAGAACTTGAAAAGACACAGGTAGCCAGTCACTGGTGGCTCACAGCTGTACTTCTAGCTACTCAGAAGGCTGAGATCTGAGGATCACAGAAGCCAGCTCAGGAAGGAGAGTCTTTGTGACTCTTTATCTCCAATTAACCATAAAAAGCCAGAAGTGGAGCTGTGGCTTAAGTAGTAGGGTGCCAATCTTGAGCAAAAAAGCTAGGGTACAGCAGCCGTGCCCTGAGTTCAACCAACATTTCCTGGCATAAACAAAAAAAAAAGAAAAAGTGTGGATTCATATCATACTCAAACCTTAGCATGCTTACCAGAAACCTAAGTGACAGTATGATACTGTGACACTCCCTTTCTCTGAACACATCTAAGCAACACCAGCTCATGTACATTCAGTCTCCTGGATAGCTTTTAACCCAGACCAACTGCCAGGCTATTTTTCTTCATCATTATTTCTTCCTATTCCAGTTAGTTACCACATGGTTGGATAACAGCTAAACCCTAAGTGAAGTATGCAGTCTTCTGTCTTTTTTTTTTTTTTTGGTTGTGAGGCTTGAACTCTGGGCCTGAGCATTGTCCCTCAGCTCTTCAGCTGAAGGCTAGTACTCTACCACTTGAGCTACAGCGCCACTTCTGGTTTTCTGATGGGTTTTTGGAGATGAGTGTTTCACAGAGTTTCCTGCCGGGGCTGGCTTTGAACTATAATCCTCAGATCTCAGCCTCCTGAGTAGCTAGGATTACAGGCGTGAGCCACCAGCGCCCAACCTTCTGTCTTCTTTTTTTTTATGGAAAGTATATTGAGACACAAAGTACATTAAAGTCCAAGTTTCTTTGTGTAGTTGATATTTCTTTCAGCTGTCACAATAGTTGAGCCATATCACTTGCTCCCTAGCTTTCTCTCCTGCAGTTTCCTCTCTGTGAAACATTTTTTCCCCCTTACTCTAGCTAACTTCTTTTATCCTTCTGATGATAGCTTAAAGGTCATTACTGGGAAGGCTTCTCAAGATTAAGTGTAACCAAACTATTTCCATGCTGTTTCAGTTTGCATCCCACTTCATGGTTATTATTCATGGGAGCAGAGACATTTTCCATTTGTTCATACTATGTCTCCAGAGCTAGTATATAGTACCTGCTCATGATACTGTTCCTTGGCTGTTTCTTGGTTTGGGGAGTGCTGGAGATCAGCACTGTGCTTCAAGTATGCTATGCAAACATCTACAACTGAGTTACCCCCAACCCTATAGGTAGCACATATGCATGATCATGCTGTTTGGGGTTTTTCATCTGTTGGTTGGTTGAATAAGCTAATGAAAGTTTTGTGAAGTTAGATGGCTGGGAACATAAAAAGATTAGAATTTTGGAGCCTGGGAAGGTGGCTCAGTGGTAGAGTGCTTGCCTTGCATGCATGAGGCCCTGGGTTCAATGGCTTAGCATCACATAAGCAGAAAAAGCCAGAAGTGGCATTGTGGCTTAAGTGGTAGAGTGCTAGCCTTGAGCTGAAGAGCTAAGGGACAGCGCCCAGGCTGAGTTTAGGCCCTATGAGCAACCAAAAACAAAAAAACAAAAACCATAAAGATTAGAATTTCAGTTAAAATTTGTGGCATACAATTTTTAAAAAGTAAAACTGGCGACTAATTCTTTATAATCCCAAACTGTTATTTTATATAGGGATATCTCTAAGTTTGCTATGCATTATATAATAGAAGAAATAGATGAAGACACATCAATGGAAGACTTGCAGAAAATGATGATTGTGGCACTTATATACAGATTATTGGTTTGTTTCTATGAGGTAAGTTACTGACTAAAGCAAATATTAAGTATTAATAAGTTTAGACTATTAGTCCAAGAAAAACAAGAATTTGTAATTAGTTATGAAGACAGTCATCTCAGATAAACCAGGCATAGTGACATGCCCTGTCATCTCAGATCCTCAGGTGGCTAAGTGGGAGGGCCAGCTAGTCAAAAACATACCATTAGCTAAAAGCCAAAGGAGCTGGAGGTATGGCTCAAGATGTGGAGAGCCATCAAAGCAAGCACAAGACCCCAAGTTCAAATCCCAGTACCCTCAAGAAAAACAAGTTATAATTATTCATGTATTTTCCAAGTGTCTTTACACTTTTTTTTCCCAAATTTAATTTATATGCACTTCTTAGATTTTAATCCAAAAATATACTTGCTGTTTGACTGTAGAACTTGAAAGGTTATTTTTCGTCAAATTGCTATGAAGTATCATGGGCCATAGAGAAATACAGTAGACATCTTATGGTGTTGAATATATTAAGACTGTAGAAATGTATTAAATGCTTAACATTTGAGTTTCCATTTCAGTGCATTTGTCTTCCAACTGCAGTAAATGGCCGTAATATGTTACTTTAAAGCCAAAGTAAAACTTTAAAGTGATACTTTAAAACTGAAGTAATAACATAGTTGATATAGTAATGATTATAGTTGAGCCAATAAATTACTTTAAAATCCTCTTTTTTTTCTTAGATTATTTGTATTTGGGGAGCTGGTGGAGCTACTCCAGGAAAGTTTCTGCTAGGGCTTCGAGTTGTGACATGTGATACATCAGTGCTTATTGCTCCAAGTCGGGTTCTAGTCATCCCTTCCTCAAATGTTAGCATTACAACGTAAGTCCTTTTCCTGGCTCAATCTACTGTATACTCCCATAGTTTCAGTGAATAGAACCTTATGGTCCCATAAGGTTATATTGCCTAGTGACTTCATTGGTGCCTTAGTGTGTACACACTTCTCAGAATGGCTGTGTCCCCTCATGGACACAGGACTGTATTCAGTGAGTTTGAGGTTTGATCAAGTGTTTCTAGAATACCGGTATTTTTTTCTTCATGGTAGGTTCACATTTATTAAGTTTATAAGCATTTTGTATGATTGTCTACACAGTATGTATATTCAAGATGGTCATTTTATAAAATACGAATCAGTTTTCAGTGCCCAGCTTTGTTAATCCCTGGATCTGTGGCTATTTGTTGGGTCAGGTACTGCCTTACCTTGAGCTGCCAAGTGGTAACACCCACCATTAGCTCATCTTAAATAGGTAGTGAGTTTGATAGCTTGGCATACATGCATGCATCTACATCTGCTCTTCAGTGGTAAAGCTTGTAATTAATATTTACATTCCCTGTTGCTAACTGTGGGCATGTACTTCTGGAAGAGACTCCAACTATTGGTGATGGAAATTGTGGAAATGAGTGGGTGGTAATCAGGCGAGCCAAACAAAATGTGCATATGTAACTGCTGCCAAAATGATCCAGAGGTGAATTGTTGTATGTGAAAATAAGTGACTGGAAGCAGCAGTTCTTTAAAATTTTGTGGCTATCTTGCCTAATCTATTAATGGGAATCAATATTGAGCACTTCCCTTATACCAAGTATTGATAGTAACATTGCATATATATTAGTTAACTCAATACTGATACTGTATGATAGATGCTGTTATCTCATTTTTACATATGTAGCACACCCAGTAATTAGAAGATGGATTTGAAACCGACTAGTCTGGATTCAGACAGAGCTCACACTCAACTACTGCACTTTATTGTAACCTTTCAGGGCACAAAAGGGCAGAACTGTAACATTAGGATAATTTTCCCATTTCTGGGCTATCATTGAAAGTTTAAGGCATCCTTTAATGACTAGATCCCACCAAGGAGCTGAGCTGACAAAAGAAAAATGTAAAGTGCTAGTACTTCACTTAAGGTAGGAAATGGGACCCCACTAAACATACTCACTTTAGAAGATTCTGGAAACACATGGTAATAATAAGTAACTGAAAAGGTAAGCAATGAGAAGCTATTCTTTGCTTCTGGCAAAATACTAGAAAAGCCAAGTACCAGTGGCATATGCCTGTAATCCTAGCTATTCAGAAGGTTGAGATCAGAGGACTGCAGTTGGCAGCCAGCCAGGGCAGGAAGTTCTTGATACTCTATCTCCAGTTAACCACCAAAAAGGACAGAAGGGGAGCTGTGCCTTAAATGGGAGAATGATAGGCTTGAGGGAAAAAACTCAGCACCCAGACCCCAAACTCAAGTCCTAGACTAATACCAAAAAAAAAAGAAAAAGGAAATACGGCAAACCTTTAGTTCATATCTTAAGATGTTTATTAGTGTTTTAATGTGAAAGTTCTTGTCTTTTTGAGTTTAAGAACAGCCCAGGTGATTTGATCATATACTTGAAAATAGCTCACATATCAAAGGTTAAGAATCATCTCAACTATATTCTGAATGCTTTAGTATTGTCTGACCTTGATAAAGATACCATTAGTTTGTATGTGGCTAATATACGACTTTGATGCTTCTGCTTTAATCTTTTAGGTCCACCATACGAGCTTTGATCAAGAATTTTTCTATTGCTTCTTTTTTCCCTGCTTTCATCACTCTGCTGTTTTTTCAGCATAATCGAACAGCCTATGACATTGTAGCAGGAACCATTGTAGTAAAAAGAAATGGGGTCAGATGATGCCCTTCCAGAACACTAAATTCCACACTGGAATAATGACAAGACTAAATTATGTATCAAGGCCTTCAGTATCCCTGGGTTACATTAATTGAATTAGAAATTAAATCAGTCACTCCACTTGCTGGAAGTGACTATTCTGAAAGTATTGATTTTACTTGAATGCCAAAGAACTTTTCCAGGAGAAAAACCTTAAACATTAGTGTTTAAAAACAAAAAGGAAATATTTAGGTAAAAAAGAAGGCAAATTCTTTCATAATCAAAATCGGCAATATTTCTTCAGATCTAATATTCAGCTTTGAAATCTCCAATGAAACTTTAAAAAACTGTATTTTGGTTTATCCCAAAATGATGGAAAATGTCCAGTTGTGTTTTGTAAACACTTGATTAGTTCATCTTTAATTCTTGTGGGATGGGAGGAACACCCATCCCAGGTGCTGGGAGCTGCGAAGGAGTATGGCAAGCCCAGCAGTTCCTTTGCCTAGGACTTCCCAGCATGCACTGCAGTTCACCAGAACAGAGGTGTCACTTTACAACTTAATGCTTGTACTTATTTCCAAGTGATGAAAAAGTATTGTCATAATGCTATATTATCATTGATGTATTAAAGGAAAGGTAAATTAGTGGTTGCTTTTAATGGGTAGGGAGAGTATGAGTAAATTTTTACTGTAAATTTAACTTAAATTCATGTGCAGGTATCCTCAGAGCCCTAAAATCATACTATATATGGGGGAAACTTCCATCAAACTTGCACATTTACTGTAAAACAACATTCCCAGTGTGTGCAGCATGGATAAAGTATTAGTGTTTTTCAGTGTTCTGAATATGTAACTTCTTATATATACAACATATTCACACGTAATTACTTTTGTATTTTATACAGTTCAATAACTGTTGACATCAAAGTATTTTGTGAGTAACTCTAAAATAGTAGTAACCTGTGAAATATTAGTAATTATCCCATTATGACCCATTCTTTCTAAAGCAAGAGAGAATATCATTTCCAGAAATTAACGCTAACTGCTTTATGCTCATTTCAGACTACTAGGAATAGTTTGGGGAAAATGCTAAGCAATGTGTCACTTTACTTGAAGCAAAATGTATAGGTGTTTTTGCAGTATGTTCCAGGTAGCTGTGTTGAAATGTACCTGCACTATTTATTGTTGTATTTTATTCTGTCATTTTCCCCAACTGTGATATTTACCCCAGAACACTAAGCTGTATTACACAGTTCAGAATTAGATTGCTTAAACTTTTGTTTCTGTTCTTAATAACAAATGCAATATATGTGTTACCACTGTATCAGTTTCTAATGTGGGGTTTTAACATTTAAAAATATTTTGTTTATAGAAACCTAATGATGTTCTTATCATTGGAAAATCTTATAAACCATGCCTGTCAAAATTGTTTTTGTTAAACCTAACTTCACAGCCTTTGGCTAAGTGTGAAATAGATCATTTCTTGTAGCTTGTGGGAAATAAAAAAAGTCATCTTTTAATCATACTATAAGTTGGGAAATTTTATGTAAACTCTGGGTATACACATCTGCCTCAGACTGAGTAATACAAATTGAAATGTCCGTAAGTCATGTAGCCTTGAGATTCACTAACTACTGTTGTCATCTAGACTGTTTTTTTAGTACAGTAAAAAAGGAAATTAGTTTAATGTAAGTTAAAATACTTCAATTTGCTATGATGAGTCACTCAGATTAATAGCTGTGAACTTGTTATAGAGCCCTGTATTTTCTTTGCACATAGAACAAAATCTAAAACCTATTATAAATTCAGAGGTTACAGAAAAAGACGTTAACTTTGGGGGGGGGGTAGGGTGGGGAAAGAACATAACTTTAGCATTCCTTTTCTCTTGGGCTGAGTGCCCTCAGAACACTTTTTTTCTGTCAGTATACTGTACTGATTTTCTGTATGTTGAATTGGCACTCTACCCCAAAAAGGTAATAGGAAGTTGTATCCATAGTACAAACATCATTCATCATTTCAAAAAACAAATTAGTAAGATAATCTTTAAAAACTTAGAATTCAAGCCAAATGAAAAAATCCCAGTTAACATACTCTAGCTCTGGACTGTTTTAAAAGAACTATTGCCGTTATCTACTCTGTTGTTCAGCCTAAAAACTGACAGGTGATTAATACAACCCGAAAAATCTCAGTACCCACAGTGGATAGGGTTCAATGTTAGAGTTGGAATCTGATCAGATGTGTGATGACAAGCCTTGCTTTTAGACTGCTGTGACCATAGAATGCAAGCCAACACATTTGGATAGTAAACCTGAACTTTCCACTATTACAAAAGTATTGATTTGCCAGAGTCACTTTGTTTACAGTAAAAAATGAGTCTTCAGTGTTTTTAAGGTCTTTATATAGTAAAATTCCATTTATACTTTCATAGAGGAATTTGCTTGGGTGGAAAGGATGGTAGAAAGGAGTTTAAAAATTTACACCTGCTGGTGGAATAAAAGTCTTTTGGGGGTGTGGAGAGGAGGGAGTACTAAATTTGTTCTGTCCCTATTAAAACAGGCTATGGGCCTAGGTAACAAGCACTTCTAAAATCTGAGAAATACTATTTCAAATATTTGTCATTCCCAATCCCTAGTACCGAAGGCCAAGGTCTTTTACATGTGCTTTCAAACAATATGTACATATTTCCTTGCAATTCAGTGTTTCAGGGCTTCACCTAATAGCCCAACTATCAATATAACTTGGCATTCTATTTTTAGTATGTCACCAATTTGTATTGTATCCTCAAATAAATACTTTGAGTCACCAATTCATCTGCATTTTGTTTCTTTGAGAAGGCTTGCTATTGAGTCCTTGCTTCAAGATAAAACTTTTCCAGTGGCTATAGAACTAGATTGCCCTCAGAAACACCATCCACCTTTATATGTACTTTCTGCAGATTACCTATATGAGAGCTAAGTCATAATGTCAAATTCATCTAGTCCTTAGAGCTGTTGAGCCATCACAATAGATAGCTGGGCCATTTCAGTTCTGCCTATAAAATCCTTTCCCAGCCTAACTTTTCTAGACTAGTTCATAGGAAGGGGCAGGATTCAAAACAGATTGTTTCCTCAAGAAGGTAAATTTGGCAGGGTGTTGGTGGCTCATGCCTGTGACCCTAGCTACTCAGGAGGCTGACATCTAAAGATCCATCACAGTTCAAAGCCAGCCTAGGCAGGAAACTGTTCATGAGACTCCAATAAGCCAACAAAAGACGGTTAGTGGTGCTGTGCCTCCAAGTGGTAGAGCACTAGCCATAAGCAAAATATCTCAAGGTCAGGCGCAGGCTGAGTTCAAGCCCCAAGACGACAACAAAAAAGGCAAATTTTTTTATCACACATGTAGCCTGTTCTGAATGCTGTAGGCAGTGTGCTACTGTAAACCTAGCTAGTGGACTTTTCACAAGTTTTCAAAGCTGCTCCACATTACAAGGAAATCTTAGTCTTATAGTTGGTATGTGTGTCTAGACCCAGTAATCCCATTTTCTCTGTGGTTATTGCAAATTTACATTTTCACTAAATTTTAGTCTTTAGGACCTAAGAGAAGGAAATAAAATTCTTTTCTAAGCAAATTTATGGCCTAATCTCAAAAATGGTTAAAATTAACCCAACACTTTTATTTCAAGTAATAAAATAACTACATTAGTAAGCAACTTCAAGAGAATTCACAAAGCGCTTATATATGTATTTCCGTTGTCTAAATTATACTTTTTCTTAACTGGAATTGAAATTATTCAAAACCATTTACCCAAAACCATTTACCCTTTGCTTAAAGTAGTATCACTAGATGACAGCATTAGGTGGCTTCCAGTTTGTTTCCTTTTAAGGATGAAGAATTTAGGATCTCAGTTTCTGGTGGTGAGACTGGAATGTTTGTCACTCTTCACTAAACAGCACACCTTAAAGAGCACTGATCCTCATCAGCCAGCCTGATACATAAACATGATTAATAATCTGAGCCTTACTGGGCTTTAGGAGGATAAGCTTAAGGCTGGAGCAGCTGTAATATAAAATTCAAATTAAGAGATCTGAACAGTTCATAGACTCAGGTTGAGGGGCCAAAAAGATCCAATTTTTAATATAAAACCAGTACAATTTGTTCAACAAGAGCAATATAGTAATGCTGTGCCTTATTTGAAGATTACATGCTGTTTCTACCAAGGATGGTTAAAAAAAAAAAGGGGTTTTTAAAGTACAAGCCAGGCACTAGTGGATTACAACCATAATCAGACTGATACCTGAGGATCACAGGTCAAAGTCAGTCTGGACAACCTTTATCTCTAATTAACTGACAAAAAGATGCAAGTTGAACTGTGGCTCAAGTGCTACTCCTTAGCACAAAATCTCAGGGACAGGGCCCAGGCCCTGAGCTCATGAGTTCAAGCCCCAGGACCAGCAAAAGAAATTTTATAAAAAACAATTTTAACTCCTACATGTGTATTAGGCCAACTTGACAATGTCAATTATGCTTAAAAGGTTTTATGATTTTCTACTTCTCTGTCCTTAATTTTGTGAAAATTTTCCTCCCAAAAACAAATGGGGCCCCCAAAGTGAAAATGCTTTCAGATGTTTAAGGAAAATGAGCCAAATATTGGCAGAATAGTACTGAATTAACGGAGTATACCCTATGGATACCAAGGTCTATTGTAAAATCATACTGATTTGTAGCACAGAGAAACTTAGAAAACAATGGTAAGAGCCTAGAGAATGTGTAAGAACCAACTTTCAATATAGGTGTTAACTTTCCAGCAGTAATACAGATTTCTAATTAGTTCTGACAACTGACACCCCCCCACCAGACCATCCATTGTGTATTATTAATGATTAAAGAACATTGCAGACAGAAACTATGTACCCTTCAAACCAGCAATAAGGAGATAAGGAAAAGATCAGAAATATTCAACATTTTAAAATTCTCAATTTAAACTCCAAGCAACTAGAAGTTTGGTAAATTCAAGTGAACGCAAAAACAAAACTGAGAACTTGAGCTCTTTTCTGAACCATAGAGAAAGTCTAGTAACAAATAATTCAGTAATACAAACCACTGTTGGTTTGTACCTGCTTTAAGGGTAACACTCCAAGAGCATGAACAATAAACATTGTTTAATGACCTATCAAGGAAGATACCAGTACAAATGGTTATGTTTAACTTCATGTAAAGCTATGTGGACATTAGGAAAGATTCCTAGCACCAGGCAAGAAGTAGAGTACCTTCTAAACACTGGAAGTTCAGATACTTTACCCCTTTTAGGAGTTGCCTAAAGTACTTACATGTACTCTAATTAACCATTGTTCCTCCCATTAATATTGTGCACCTTCATTGTGAGTTAAAACTGTAACAAAAAGTGCTTCATAAATTTTTATTGATGGCATTTTATCCCATGGTTTAACATGTTAATTATACTGTAATAAACATGGCTTTAATATTAAACTTCTCCTTATTATCCAAAGTCACCACAGTCCATTTCAGTAAATATAAAAATATATGTTTAATACTTTGTACAATACTGGTTTTTGGTCCAAACAAAACTGGATCAGAAAAGCCAATAAATTCAACTTTAAGAATCTCCAATTTTTTTTTAAAGATTTCCAAATGGATTTAGGCAACTTTGAATAATGGGATTTACATAATAAAATCTGAGACAAGACTAAACAAAAAAGTCTAACACAAAATTAAAATTTCAAGTTCACAGATTTATGTTATGCCAAAAAAGTACAGAAACAATTGTATTTACAGATGTTTCATAATAAAATAATGAAAAAGGCAAGACGGGTGATAGAATGAAAATATAGAAATAGCATATAATTATTAAATGGAGAATGAACTAGATCTAACAGGTCCTTAGCATGGACCACTCTTTAATCACGCTTTCTCTATCAGAAAATTTTTGTGCACAATACACCCACCTCACTCACTTCACACATACACCAGCACAAACTCAGCATAGAAATCATTCATTTCAACATCCTCTAATCTATACAGAATTCCTCATATATAATTACAATTCCACGCGTTCCATAAACACTGCACATAGTGGTGCAGACAGAGGTTCTACACAAGCCATTCACCGTGCAGGCTCTATTTCTGGTACAGCCAGACTACGCCAAGCCAGTGAATAATGTGCTAGATCATAAAGTGTTCTTGCTTTAGAATCAGACACCAGTCTAGCTATTATTTTCAAAAAAAGGGGTGGGAAAGGTGGGGCAGGGGCTTCCATAGAGAAGATCATTCCAAATTAGAGAAGTCCTTAGGCTCTGATTTCGGATAAGCCCAGTATGTAGTACAATCCAGTATCTGAAAGCAGGGCACCAGCTGTTGTTAAAACTCTTGGGTATAACACCTTTGTCACCTTTATTTCCTACGTCTGACAGCAGTCTTTATCTTGCGACCAGAAACTGAAGTTCCAGAAGAGGAGAACAAATTTTTCCCATTTGACCTGTGAAAAACAAGACTTCATATTGTGACATGAGGTTCAGAGCAAATTTTAGGATTATAACATTTAACATGACCAGCAGCAAAGAGGACAGGAACTCTACTGTTAAAACAAATACATTTCCTCTTATACGTGACACACATCACTATTTCTCAGATGATAAATACAATCTTCCAAAAGTGCTGCAATAGGAGAATATATCTAACTGTACCCAAACTATACTGCATCTTCATGACTTAAAAAAAAGCAAAACATGCATACCTTACAATGTAAATTATCTGTTAAGAAAAAAATTCTCTTACCCCACAGTAAATGCTGCTGAAGACTGGTTAAATGCAAAGCCCCCAGAGCCTGAAGGCTGGGCTGAGGCTGCAGGTGTACTGGGATTTGCACCAAATGTGAAATTGAAATTTGTAGTGCTGCTGCCAAATTGGAATACAGAACCTGTAATTGTGGCAGAAATATGTCATTAACTCTGGCCTCTACATATGAAAACACATAAAGGTTTAAGATCTGTTATGCTCAATCTTTTCCCTTGACACTTCCAACAAATGATGTAACTTACTATGACCAAGAGATAAGGAGCAGAATGGAGAAATGTCTGGTTTAAGACGGCAAAATCAGCAAAAACTTAGTAGCATTATATTGTTTTAAAAGTGAATTAAAGTAACAGCAAAGGGATTTTTATTGGTCCCCAGTTATTCACTGAAAAGCCAGAAATGGAACTGTGGCTCAAGTGGTAGAGTCAGCTTTAAGCAAAAACATCAACAAAAGGACAGCGCCCAGGAGTCAGCCTGAGTTACACACACACACACACACACACGCACACACGCACACACGCACACACGAGATAAGACTATTGGTTTCCTAGACTCGGACACATCTACCCCAATACCACACAAGACAGTAATTCTCTTTCACTCTAGAACCTAAGTTTAGTCTTTGTAGAAGACAACAAGATACCAAAGTTACAGCTAATAAAATGCATAACTGACAACTCCTATAAACTGAGCTACCAGAACACTGGCAAGCAGACTAGAAGTATCTTCTCGGGAATTTAACACATTGAACAGGAAGTTTTCATTTAAAGATAAACAAGCTGGGTACTGATGTCTTACACCTGCAATATACCTACTTAGAAGGCTGACAACTGAGGAGCACTGTTCAAAGCCAGCCAAGGTAAGAAGGTCCGTGAGACATCTCCAGTTAAAACACCAGAAAACTGGAAATAGACTGGTGGCTCAAAATGGTAGAACACTAACCTTGAACACAAAAGCTCAAGGACAGCACCTGAATTCAAGCCCTGTGATTGACAACAACAACAACAAAACCAACTA